CTTCTCCTTCGAGGAGCTTTTCCATTTAAAAGAAGACACGAGAAAAGGAGAGCTCCCTCCCAAAGATTGTTCAACAATGAAATCAAGAGGAACACATGTCTCCTGTCTCTCAGGCTCGCACATCAAAATCCCTGCTGTGGAGTCTGAGGCTTTGCTGCAGTGGGTGGGGAAGTACAATTTAAATACAAGTTTCCCCTCTGGGCCCCTCAAATACCTTGTGGTAAAGCCCTTGGATCCAAAAACTGAGAGGCTAGTGAGCAGTGTTGTTTCTTTGACTCCTGCTTAGGCTATGGACGGGCTCTGAAGGGACAGGCATGGACGTCCCTTTCCCCAAACAAGGCTTTTCCTCACCCCTGTCCTATCTCCTTCCTCCACCTGGAGTCAGCCCTTGCTGGGAGGCTTACAAGCGACTGTGTCAGAGAGTTTGGGAGGTGGCTATTGGAAGGAAGATGGTACGGGCACTTCTATCAACAGATAATATTAAACTTGAGTCACCGGTGTCTAATATTGGGTGCTTTGTTTCCAGTGGCGCATGCTAAGCCATTTGGTCCTGCACCAGATACATTCATCATGAATCATAGACTCTTGTTTAATACGTGTTAAGTTTCTGGGTGCTGGAATGTGTACTTGGCTGGGTTGTTGACTTTTGAATGTCCCTGCCCTGCAGGAAGGCAGAGGGAGCACCGATAACATGTTTCACCTGCCTCGGAACGTTGAACAGGGCTACCCATGGGCCTCACACACAGAACCACCAAAAAAAGATGTGTAAAGGGGATAAAAGAACTTCTGTGGAAGTCAGCTAGACTCAGCTGAGTCCAGCTTTTTGCAATAAGGCTTTGCTGAGAAAAGGCTGGAAATTCTATCATCTTAAAGATGTCCCAAGGGAAAAAATATGGCAAGTGAAGAGAAGTCAGTATACAAGATTCTCAGCAGGAGCCTAAGCTCCATCCATCCATCCATCCACCCATCATAAGGATCTTGGATGATCAGGACCGAACAGTCAGGCTGGCAGGCGGACCTTCCAGAAGAGAGAGGCCTCCTCCCTGTGAACCCATCCTACTGCAAAGAGGGCCAAGCAGGCCAGTCTGGCCCCATGAACGAGCCTCAGGGGAGTTGTGACTCCAGACACAACATAATGTCTGCCACGTGGACTTGACCCCAGATCAGCTCCACCTTAATGCCTCTACCAAGGCATTAAGCAAGTCACTTGACTGCACTCACTTACCAGGGAGCACAGCTTTTGAGGTTATTTAGAGCCCAGGTTTTGAGGTTATTATAGACTGGGTCGAAGTCCTGGCTATACCTCTTAATAACTGTGTGATCTCAGACAATTAACTTCCATTTCCTGAGCTGTCAAGTGGGGATAATCAATACTACCCCGGCACGCTGCCGTGAGGGCTGAGTGAAACAGGACATGTCTGCCACCGAGCGCTGTGCCCAGCACCAGAAGTCACTCACTGCGACATCATTAAAGTTGGCCCTAACAGTAGAAGCAGATTTGTAAAGTTTCTTCCAGTTCTAAGAGTCCTTAACAGCTCTGTGACCTCGATTTTAATTTTTATAATCATTTAAGCTGAATGATAAAATCAGTCAAATGAGTTTTTCAGATAAAGGCTTATAATGGCCTAAGGATTAATGCATTTACCTCAAGCAGCTTCGAGATAATGTCCTTGCAAGCGTCATTTCTTTGCCACACTCACACCACACACCACCATCTCCCACTGCTGGGATCAAAGAAGTTTCCTCTGCAGTTGATAAATTGGCGGACCTAAACCAAACCCATAAGTCTGCCCTGGGAATGCCTGTTGAGGACAGACACGAATCACAGCCCTGGGCTATTTCTTTGTTTTGAATATTTTAGTATTCTTTTCACTTAGTTGAAGGACAAGATGTTCCAAATCAGTGAATCACTTTCATTTATAAACTGGAATGAATGAGGTAACATCAATGAAAATGGCGGAATAAGGATCTCCGAAAACTTCTCCTCCATAAAAGCCATGAAAACAAAGGCAAAACTTGTCAGAATCAACTGCCTTGTGCTATTTCCCATACCAGGCTGCTTATTGTGCAAGATACGTAGCCTAAACTAACAGCAAATTATTTTCAATTGAATCTGTCTTTACTAAGAGTAAACAAATGCTTATTCACTCATGGCATTCATTTAAAGTGTGTATTCCAAAGGAAATACAATATCACCCAGTAGGGAAAAAAACTGGTGTCTCGACTGCATGCTGCCATGCCAACTGTGTAAAGCATTTACAATTATCTCCTTCCCCACACACATTCACACCTGTGCACACGCACATGCACACAGAGAGCCAAGGAAGGGACGACAGCCAACAGAGATAACATGCTCTTGGAAGGCACAAAGCAGTGTGGAGGAATGCAGCCTGGCACGGCAGGGTGGGGAAAGCTGAAGAACAAGTGCCTGGAGAGGTCCTGCTAAGGAGAAGCAGGCCGATTTGTTCCACAGAACCCAAGAGAAGTTTGGGAATGTCAGGCATCATCGAACGTTTTCTCCCCTAGTCCCGAGTCACCTCACCCTCAGCAGCCAGGTAGCTTACCCATCCTACATCCCTATAGGAAACAGAGGGCTTAGTTTCTGGGGAGACTGCACCAGAGATCTGGGCTCAGGAGCACAAGGCACAGTGAGGACAGGGGCCTTTACTGAGGACAGTAATTAAGTGAACTGCTGTCTTAGAAATAGTGAGATCTCCAGCCCTGTTCCCCATTTGGTTCACAGAACACAAGCCAGTGGCTTATATCCCAGGCAGGAGAGGCTGAGGAGTGGTTCTGAAGCACATGATAAGTCCAAGAGATGTAAACATTTATGGTCCTCATCCCATCCATCTCCTGTGAAATCCAACAGGAAATAACCCCTACTTTACTGGTTTCCTGCGGCTGCTATAACAAATTACACTGTATTTGATAGCTTAAAACAACAGAACTTTATTGTGTTGTTTTATTGTGTTGTTTATTGTGCTCTTTCAAAGCTCTGGAAGCTAGAAGTCCAAAATCAATTTCACTGAGCAGCAATCAAGGTGTTGACAGGGCTGTGTTCTCTCTGGAGACACCAGAGGAGAATCCATTCCCTGCCTCTTCCAGCTTCTGGTGGCGGCTGCACTCCTTGGCTTGTGGCCACATCACTCCAGTCTCTGCCTCCTGGTCACATTGCTTTCTCTTCCTTTCTCAAATCTCCCTCTGACTACCTTTCCTAAGGACACATGATTACATTTAGGGCCCACCAGATAATCCAAGATAATGTCTCCATCTCAAGACCCTTAACGTAATCACCCAAGTGTCTGCCCTATAAGGTGACATTCGTAGATGCTGGTGATTTGGACGTGGACATCTTTGGGAGCCATTACTCAGTCCACCACACCACCCGAATACAGAAAATTTCCAGTCAGCCTTCTGGTTTCTCGCACTTAAGTGTTAGCGACATCAAAACTTTTTCACCTTTGTAGGATATCTGAATTTCTTGTTTGTTTGTTTGTTTGTTTTTTAAAGAGAGAGAGAGAAACATCAATGTGGGGTTGCTGGGGGCTGTGGCCTGCAACCTAGGCATGTGCCCTGACTGGGAATCGAACCTGCAACACTTTGGTGTCGCAGCCCGCACTCAATCCACTGAGCTACACCAGCCAGGGCTGAATTTCTTGTTTTATTAATTACCCATTCATGGCCTTTATCTGTTTTACTTTCTACTGATGTTTTTCCTATAGGCTAAGAGAACTTGAGATAAGACCATTAACCCTTTATCTGCTATGTATATTGAAAATACTTTCCCTAATTTGCACTTTCCTATTAACTTGTTTACAGTTTGTTTTCTAATATATGCAAAAATTTTTAGTGTATATAATAAAATTGAATACCTCTTTTCCTTTGTAATTCATCCATTGCTATTGTCAGAAAATCTGCCTTATCCTAAAATTAGATATATGCTAATATATGTTCTCCTGGTTTTATGGTTTGAAAAGTATTTACTTATTTAATCAATATGAAATTTATTTTAATATGTGGTATACAGAATCTAACTTAATTTTTTGAAGTTATTTAACAACTGTCTAACATAAACTACCTCTTCCTTTCCCTGTGGATTGTCATATCACCTTTCTCAAATATATAAATTTTATATATTCTAGTGTCTGTTTCTGAGCTCAGCTTAGTATCTTAATTCCTCTTTCAGATGTTTGCTGTATCTCTCCTCCCCCTACTCCCAAGTTTCTAGTTGCAAATAAATAACTATTGTCCATCAAACCATCCCAAAATAATTTCACATTTTTCTCATTCTTTCTAAATGTTTATATAATTATTTATAATTTTTGGCATTCTACTGGTCACTTATCTAAAAGGGTTCATTTTTATCATAATACATGTACATGTCTTTGGACATTTTTAGAAATAGGAAAGCATGTTCACATTTTTTAAAGAAAAGCACCTAGAAATACTTTTCCTTTTTATTGTTAATACAGTGATCTGCTGAATGTCTCTGATGATTTTATTAATTAGTTAATTCAACAAACACTGTGTGTCACTCATTTTTCTAGGTGCAAGGTATAAAGGACAAAAACAGACAGTTCTCTCCAACTTCATGAAACTTACTTTCTAATAGGGGAGACCGACAAAAACAGGATAGGCAAAAATTTAGATGTAGTGTGTCAGACAGTGATGAGTTCTATAGAGAATAGAAAATAAAGGAAGGGAGGGACAGGAAATTCTGAACAGGTGACTGGGATGACGTCATTGAGCTATTATGAGTCAAGACCTAAAAAAGTAAAGACACCTTTACTTCTTTTCTGTAAACTAACATAAATGATTAATTTATACTGATATTCCTGTTATAGCTTCAGGTATACTTTAAGTATATTTTAAATCAATTACATAATCATTCATTGTTTATCTACTTCAATAAGCAATGTGTTAATCTTGATATAGCAAAAGGCATCATTGCATATTTTAAGCCTCAAATTTACCATGATTTAAGTGTAATACATACTTACAGGAGTGAAATAAGATGTTGGAAATCTCTGAACTGTAGAACGAAATACAAAGTTCCTATATTAAAAAAAGATATGATTTACTAAATTTATTTATTTTTAAAGATTTTATTTATTTATTTTTAGAGAGGGGAAAGGAGGAAGGAAGAGAGGGAGAGAAACATCAACGTGTAGTTGCCTCTCACACACTCCCCAACTGGGAACCTGGCCCACAACCCAGGCATGTGGCTGACTGGGAATAGAACCAGTGACCCCTTGGTTCAGAGACTGGCACTCAATCCACTGAGCCACACCAGCCAGAGCAATTTTCTAAATTTATTTTTAATATGAGGACCTTTGTTCATTTATTCCCTATCTCTCATTAAGTATTTGAGAATGCTCATCTGGATATAAGGGGCATAAATGAAGTTTAAAAGCCATCAGTATTGATTGTTAAGTATGTATATAGAAAGGCATAAATGCAATTATTAAAAGCAACTTAATAAGTAATAAGTATATTATTACCTGGAAGCATACTTGGGAACTGGAGGAGGAAGTACATCATATTGTCCTGGTGACAGCTGAATTGACTGCACAAATGGACAAGCACACAAATAATAGGTTATCATAAGTCTTAAACTCACTTTTCTTATTAGCTATCATTCATAATCCTCTATTTTATTACTGTATAACATTATATAATTTATTATCTATTCTAATAGTGGAAACAGCATATTTCCAAAGGTGGAGCTTCAAAACATCCCAGACATTCACATTTCATGGTGAATTTTATGACTGTATGCCTAAGATGATGTGTTAAAAGCCACTATACAATTGATCATATTCTACGTGTACTGGATTCAACAAACCATTCAGCCATCATTTGCTGAGCTTGTCCTATGGGTAAAGAACCCCACTAGATGTGGTAGGGAGTACAATGGTAAGAGAGAGATTGTCCCTGACCAGCAGGAGTGAGAAGGTATGAACATAAATAATTCTAATACAAAACGATATAATCAATGCTGAAAAACAGATTGAAGATTTAGGAGGTAGGGAGAGATTAAATCTAACTGGATGACCCATACATGTGATGACCCATAACATCACAGACAAATAGTGATAAACTAAAAGCTTTTCTTCCAAGATCAGAAACAGGAGAAGGGTGCCCACTCTCTCCATTCCTGTTCAGTACAGTACCAAAAGTCCTAGCCAGAGTAATTAGGCAAGAAAAAAGAAATAAGGGGCATTCGAATTGGGAAGCAAGAAATAAAACTGTCCCTGTTTGCAGATGACATTATCATATATATAAATATAAATATATTAAATATGTATTTATAAATGTGTCCATAGATAAATATATAAATATAAACAAACAAATAAATATATTTATATATAAATACATCCGTATATAAATGTAAATATATATATATTTTTTAAAACCCTAAAGACTCCACCAAAAAAAAACCCTGTTAGAACTAATCAACAAATTCAGTAAAGTTGCAAGATACAAAAACAACATACAAAAATCAGTTGAGTTTCTATACATTAACAATGAAGTATCTGGACAATAAATTAAGAAAACAATCTCATTTGCAATAGAATCAAACACAATAAAATACTTAGAAATAAATTGAACTAAGGCAGTGAAAGATCTGTATACTGAAAACTGTAAGAAACAAATTGAAGATACAAATAAATGGAAAGATATCCATTTCTTTGGATTAGAAGAATTCTAATGCTCATAGATTAGAAGAATTAATATTGTTAAAATATCCATACTATCTAAAGCAGCCAACAGACTCAATGAAATCCCTATCAAAATTCCAACAGCATTTTTCACAAATACAGAAAAACAATCCTAAAATGTATATGGAACCACAAAAGAACCTAAAGTCATAGCAATTTTGAGAAGAACAACAAAGCTGAAGGCATTACACTTCCTGGTTTCAAATTATATTACAAAATATATGCAGTATGATACTAGCTTAAAAACAGACACAGAGACCACTGGAACTGAATGGAGAGTCCAAAAATAAACCCATGCGTATGATCAACTTATTTTGCCAAGGGCACCAAGAATACACAATGGTACCCCATTGTGTATTCTGAAGTACATTGTGAAGTACAGTCCCTTCAATAAATGGTAGTAAGAGAACAGGATATCCACATGCAAAAGAATAAAACTAGACCCTTATTTTATACCACTCATCAAAATTAACTCAAAATGGACAGAACACTTAAATGTAAGACTGGAAACCATAAAACCCCTAGAAGAAAATGGGGAAAGCTCCTTAACATTGGTCTTGGCAATTTTTTTGGATATAACACCAAAAAAAAAAGCAAAATAAGGCAACAAAGGCAAAAATAAACAAATGGGAAGACATCAACCTAAAAACCTCCTACATAGCCAAAGAAACAATCAACAAAATAAAAAGGCAACATAAGGGATGGGAGAAAGTATTTACAAACCATGTATCTGATAAGGTGTTAATATCTAAAATATATAAGGAACTCATACAACCCATTAGCCAAAATAATCCAATTAAATTGAACAAAAGACCTGAATAGACATTTTTGCACAGAGACATATAATGGCCAGTAGGTGCGAGAAAAGGTGCTGAACACCACTAACCATCATGGAAATGCAAATCAAAGCCACAATGTGATGCCACCTCATAGCCGCTAGGGTGGCTATTATTAAAAAGACAAGAGATAACAAGTGTTGGTGAGGATGTAGAGAAAAGGACCCTTGTGCACTGTTGGTGGGAATGTAAAATGATACAGCCAATATGAAAAACACGTCCCTCAAAATATTAAAAATAAGGAACAAAATGAGTGTCTGGAAGAGATCTCCGCACTCCATGCTCACTGCAGCATTACACACAACAGCCACGCTATGGAGACCACCTGCACGTCCACTGACAGATGAGTGGATAATGAAAATAGGATACGTGAACACCTGAAATAAATAAATAAATATAAAATTCGGTCATAAAAAAGAAGGAAATCCTGTCTTTTGCAATAACATGGTTGAACCTGGAGGGCATGGTGCCAAGGGAAATAAGCCAGACAGAGAAAGACAAATGCTGTTTTGTATGACTTATACGTGGAATCTGGAAAGCTTGTCCTCGTGAAACAGAGTAGAATGGTGGTTGCCAAGGTCTGGGGCGGGGATGGGGGTTTGGTCAAAGGGCTCAAAATTTCACTTACAGGGTAAGTTCTGGGAATATGAGGTATAGCATGGGGGCAATAGTTGATAACACTGTGTTTGTGCACTTGAAATTTGCTCAGAGAACAGATCTTACGTGTCCTCATCCACACTCACAATGGTAACTCTGTGAGGTGATGAACCTGTTAATTAACTTGATTGTGGTAATCATTTCACAATGTATGTGTAGATCAGATCATCACCTTGTATGCCTTAAATATATACAATTTTATTTGTCAATTATGCCTCCATAGAGCTGGGGGGAGAAATTATATAAGCCCAACCAAGTGATCTAAAGATGGTGAAGACAAGGAGATTCGAGTGGTGTTTTAAGGAAGACAGAACTGCCTTGAGGGGAGCAAGGGAGGGATTCTGAGGAGAAACACTGCAGAGGAGACTGCCTCTCTGCCTGTTGTCAAACGTGCTGCAAACTACTTGCGTGGCTCCATTGTCCCCGGGTTTATGGATACTAACTAGCTCAGAGGTGCAGGAAATAAGGAGTGTAAGGGTCTGGCAGGCACAGAGACTGGGATATGCAAAGGAAGGGAGGGGGAGGAGGAAGCCGAATGAGGAGCCAGGGGAGACTGACAGGACCTCCAGAAATTCTTCTACTGAAGGAGCTGGTAGGAAGGAATTATATTACTAAGTCCCAGGAAGAATCCTTCCTGAAGTGAACAATCTACTCCCCATCCTCCATTATTTTAAAAATCGGATTTAAAAATACAATACTGCCTTTGCTGAAAATGAGGCATTCATATCCTGGCATTTTATGCCACATGCCAGTTCCACAATTATATTTCACCCTGCTGCTTTCATTCACATACTGGTACACAATTTTGATTACAGACACAGACTTTTGTGGATACGGTGATAACAACAGTAAATATAAATTTTATGATGAACTCCACATTTTGTCCTGATGCACCTGTACCTTGTTACTTGTTCACTTGATATAACAAACACCCAGAAAATGCTGGTGGTGTTTTTTATCCTCATGTGGAAGCACAAAAGTATATTTTAAGCATGGGGGCTTTTGGGGATGCAACATACTATTTCTTGATTTTGATAATGTTTATATGGGTGTTTGCTTTCTATTTAGTTTATTTCTCTTAAAGATTTTATTCATTTATTTTGAGAGAGGAGTGGGGAGAAAGAGAGAAAGAGAGAGAAACATCCACGTGCGAGAGATACATCAATCAGTTGCCTCTCACATGCTCCCAACTGGGAACCTGGCCTGCAACCCAGGCATGTGCCCTGACTGGGAATTGAACCAGGGACCTCCCGGTTTGCAGGCCAGCACTCAGTCCACTGAGCCACACCAGCCAGGGCTTTCTATTTACTCTAAATAGTGCATTATGCTTTATATGCTTCCTCTAGCATGCTTGCTCACTCTCGTGTACATATATACACACATACACAGGAGGAGAAAGAAGAGAACTGAGAAGTGAAAAAAAAAACCTTAAAGCAGCTGTTTATCCCTCTATATTCAGCAACCACATAGAGTTTTAATATAAAAAGTACTTATGAAAAAACTCTTAGACAGCATTAGTCTCAAAAGAAACATTAGTTCCCATAACTTCTGTATTTGCCCTACTTTACTTGGCACTGGCCATTCTTTGCTATTTAGTATAACTGAGAGAGGGCTGACTTTTTTTTTCCATAAAGTCGTGACTAGTCAGCTGCCTTATGCAAGAGACTATTTCTCTGCACATTGCTGAACTTGTTGCAAAATATCTGGGTGGCTCCATTGTCCTTGGAGATTTTATATATACACATGCATTTTTCTAATTCTAAAATATGCATCTCAGTTCTTCATTTGTAATGGAGCTCAGAAATCTAGACATTGTGCCCATAAAAATACCTGATGCTAGTTATTGTTTCAATCCATGTTAACAAGGTACTCAGAAATCTTGCAATAGCTGCCCTGGCTGGTGTGGCTCAGTGGACTGAGTGCCGGCCTGTGAACCAAAAACTCGCTGGTTCGATTCTCAGTCAGGGCACATGCCTGGGTTGCGGGCCAGGTTCCCAGTTGGGGGGTTTGTGAGAAGCAACTACACATTGATGTTTTTCTCCCTCTCTTTCTCCCTCCTTCCCCTCTAAAAATAAATAAATAAAATGTTAAAAAAAAGAAATCTTGCAATAGCTTGAAGCCACACAATATCGAAAGATGGTATTAATGTGGATACTTAATTCAGTTCTGTTGTACCAACACCATTAATGTCAGAAACTGGACTAAGTGAAAAAAATCTAACCCTACCTCTTAGGCTCTTCGCATGACAACATTTTGAGAACCCACATCCATAAGGAGGTGGGAGAGAGGGGAACATTTTCACTGCGTCAGAAGCCCTGTCAGAGTGATCGTAAGGGGAATGCAGCCAAAGG